TTCAAGCTGTCCTAGCTGGCTCTGTCCAAACTGGGAAATGGGGAGCACGGCATGGAGCTGCATGGCCAGCACAGTGGCCGCTGCATGCCTGTTGGCAGAGGGTGTCTGCAGGAAGCTGCTGTGGGAGAAGGAATACAATGGAAATGTGAGCTTGGAGGAGTGTCAGCAGTTGGCTAAATTCATATGTGTCACTCATGAGAGACATTTAAACGCTTAAAAGGGTAGAATTGGGGACCCCAGACTGCATGTGGGTGTTCCAGCTGAGGCTGATGCTCTGTTTCCTCCTCTCCTCGCAGAGATGGCACGAGGACTACAGCCTTTTCCGCAAGGTGTCCATTTACCTGCTGACGGGGCTGGAACTGTACCAGAATAGAAAGTAAGTTCCTCTAATTGTGTTTGGACAAGATAAGTTGTAGCTAAAAGTAAAGGCCACTGTGACAAAAATTTTTCTTTCTGAGCCACAATGGCCTGTGTTTGAGGCCAGTGAGAGATTTTTTGACCTGCTAATAGGTCTTCTTGAATCCACAATCGAGCTTGGTTAACAGTTTAAAAAATATGAGGCTGAGCTGCTGGCTGGCTGCCTGGCAGTTCTGAGAGTTTCCCCTAAGATTTCCCTTTGGGAAGTAGAGCTTTATATTCTGCTTTCTGGAGATGAATTTGCAGGAATGATTGCCATCACTTTGGGGTTTTTCACCTTGGACTCCTGTATTAAAAGGAAAGTGCCTTTAGATGGATTTACACTTTGTGCAAACACATAGTTTGGAGCCCTCAAAGGGCCTTGGTTTCCTCCTTACCATTCTAGAACCTGTATTTTCCTTAAATGGTGCAGGCTTTCAGAAATTATTCCTGGATGGAAACAGAACTGAATTCCAAGGTGGTTCACAGTGACAAGCCACCAAATTCAGGTGGGCAAATTGACATGAGACGTGACAAGAGCAGTTTAGAATTACCCCAAATTGACCTAATCCCTGTCAACAGTTCTGTTTTCTCATCTGAAGCTTGAAGTGTGTGAGGGACTGAAGTACACAGCCTTCTGCCCTTCTTGGGGTGTCCTCTCACAGTGCAGTTCCTGGAGCAGTACAGAAAACAAACACAGAAACAAGCACATTGCACATAAACTTGGTTTTAAGGGTCTCTGCCCAGACACTTGTTTGGCGTTCTGGGCAAAGAGGAGCAGGAATGGCTTGACATGGGGCATCTGTTCTTTTGTGCTTTGGCAAGGAAATGCATCTTTTCCCATGGAGCCTGAATCTTCCAGCCAGGCCCAGCAGGAAAGGTTTCCTGAGCTGAGCCAAGGGAATGGCAGAGCCCAAAGCCTGCAGAGCTGACCCTCTTCTTGCAGGTACCAAGAGTCACTCACCTACCTGGTCTACGCCTACCAAAGCAACACCAAACTGCTGCTGAAGGGAACCAACCGCGGCGTGAGCGAGTCGCTGATCGCCTTGTACCGGAGGAAATGTCTCCTGGTTTGTATCCAGGAGCTCAGCACTCACTTTGGAGAGGAGGGGAGGGAGCAGCCAGGGCACCATGGCAGCCAAGACCAGTGTAACTGTTTCTGTTGTGTCTATTAATGTGATTCTGCCCCTTGCTGAGTGCCAGCAGCGATATGGAAAGCTAATAATGATTATGATTCAATTAAAGAACATGCCACGTAGGTTTCAGGGAATCTAGGCAAAGGCAGATCTGGTTCTTGCCATCTTCAAACCAGAATTGTAAATAAGCTGTGTGCTCTCTGTATACAGATACAGCAAATTGCATGCATGTGTATGAATATATATGTTTTCAAGTCTGTTTTCTATGGTGTGTTTCCCATGCCTGAAAATGGCTGTTCCACCAGCCCCTGGTGCTGTTAGTCCTTATTCTCTGCATGGCTGCCAGTGCAGGGCCCAAGCTGGGCCTTTCCTGGATGGTTATTCATGGTCCATGCTTGTTCTTTACAAGTCTGTCCCCAATTCTCCTTCCACCCCCAGAAGCTGAACGAGGTGGCAGCTTCTCTTTTTGTCAGCTGTGAAGAAGCTCATGTGTCAGAGGGTGTGAGCATCCTGAATGAGCTGATCATCCCCTGCATGCATCTCATGAACAACTTTGAGATCTCCAAAGAGGACCTGGATGCCATCGAGGTCATGAGGAACCGCTGGTGCTCCTATTTGGGACGAGAAGACATGGACGGTAGGACTGCTGGTCCCTGGTGATGGGCTGGGCAGCTCTCAGCGCAGGGAGAGGAGCCTGCAAAAGGCACCACAGCTCCTTAACCCGGGGCCTGGAGCCCTCTCTATTGCTGCCACTGACCGTGTCCTCCTTTCCCCTTGACAGCAAAGCTGCAGATGAAGCTGGGAGAGCTGCTGCCCCGGCTCCTGGACGGCTCCACCGAGGTCATTGTGCTGAAGGAGCCCCCGAAGATCCGGCCCAACTCCCCCTACGACCTGTGCAGCCGCTTTGCGGCCGTCATGGAGTCCATCCACGGCGCCTCGGCCGTGGCCGTGCAGTAACCGCGGGCGGGCGCGCCGGGGCTGCAGCGGGAGCAGAGGGGCCCTTGGGATTCCAAGCTGTGTTCTTTGTAAATACGAGCGGTTAAAAAGCAGTATTGCACTTGTGAGGCAGAACGTAAGGCGGTAACACGAAGGACCTGGACCACTGTTACAGTGCGAGGCGCAGCAGCACCGTGGGGCCCAGCCGGGCTCCAGAGGCTCCTCTGTCCTGGCAGCCCTCTAGCTGCAGCCCCTGGGCCCCAGGAGCCCAGCTCTGTCAGCGCTGGGGCTGCACCTCCACAGCTCCCTGAACGGCCACTGCCAGAGGCTGCGTGTTCCAGTCCAGCCACACTCCTGCTCGCAGGAGCCCGGGCTGAGTGAGGAGGAGGCAGCAAGGAGCAGTAGCTCGTGCTCTGCAGCGTGGGCAGTCATGCACGCAGCTCTGTGTGGTGGTCAAGTCAAGCAGGCTTTTGCCTTTTGTATTCCAGCTGGCACCAGAAACCACACAGGAGCCTTCCTTGAAGAGACAGGCAAATCCTGGCAGTGAGGAGCCAGGACGGGGCTGTGGGCTTGTGCCTGGCAGGAGCTGACTGGCTCAGGGCAGTCACATCACCCCAAAGGATATTCCCCTTGTGGCCGGAAAGCAAACTTCCTTCTCCCCTCGGGTGGTGGGTCAGGGCTGGATTACTGTCAATGGCAACTGGAGGACTCAGATCAGCCCCTTGTGTTGGTGGTGGGCGTTTGTGTTGACTTTGTTAACAGAGTGCCCAGTTGGCATTTCCTTTTGCGGTCACCCTGTGCTTGCATTTGAGCTGCAGCACTTGTAAGCCAAAAGTTCTGAGTCAGTGGAGGGGGATCCTGTTTTTTGGAACTATGCAGAGTTTTCTAACAGTGCAATAAAAGCATTTGTTCTATGTTAGAATGAAAAAGCTCCTTCCATGTCTTTATTCCACTCTAGGGTTCTGCCTGAAGGTTCCCTCTGTACAAAATGTGTTGTCATTGGCAGAGCTGCCTTAAAGGTGGTTCCACCATCCTGTCAGGGGGTGTTTCCCCAGTATTTAGGAATAAAATGCTCATGTGGGAGAATCTCACACTCTCCTGGTGACTTCATGATGAAGTAGAACTGCTTTTATCCACAGGTAGTGTGGCTGCCAGTGTCCCAGCAGTGACCCGTGCCTCCTCAGGGACCAGGGTGCTGCAGTGCCAGTGCTGCTGTTGCAGCTCGTTCCCCCCATCGTTGTGACAGAGCAGTGGGATGAGGCCTTCAACTTCCTGCTCAGGGTGCTTGGCCTTCAATGAAGGGAAAGGTGGAGCTCTTGAACAGAGCCCCCAGGCCATCACCCACCCAGAGGCATGCTACCTCCTCCCAGGCAACACTTGGCATTGCCAGGCAGCTTTTGTGCACTTGCAGGCAGTAGGATGTGGTTTGAGAAGAGGAGAAGCCTGTTTGTTCTGACTCGTGAAACAGTGGCTTTGCCCTGTTCTTTGTGTTGCTGCCAGAAGCTGAAATGCCCAGCCCATGCCCACAGCCTGTTTTAAGGAACCAACAAAGAGTGTCAGGAGTGGTGCTGGGGACGTCATGGTGTTTGGGCTGAGCTGGACAGGAGGAGCATTCCCAGGCTGAAAACCTTTGCTCACTGTCCTGTTCTCCCATTTCTCAAGGGAGTCAGAGCCAAAACAGGCTCTGTGCTCCCTGGGTTGGTCAGCCCTCCTAGGGAGCTGGCAGGGGGTGCAGCTCCTTGGGAGGTGATGGCCAGGAACAGTCCCCTCAGTTGTACCTTGTTTGATTCTCTTTCAGAAGGACTGAGCACCTGCCTCTTCCACTTCACTCTCAGCAGCACCAGAACTGCCTGGGATCATCACTGTTCCCTTTCCTTGCCCATCTGCTCCTTCCTCTCCTCCAGCTGAGCAAAGTGCAGGTTTCAAAATGGGACTTAGAGCGAGTGGACTTTGCTTTCCCCAGGGCTGGGCCTGCCTTGAGGTGGGTCACGCGCCCACGGCTCTGAGCTGCAGGGATTAAACCAGCGGTGAACTCCGTGTCCAACCAGTGCTGTAGCAGCAGCCGGCCCCTGTCAGGACTCTGGGTGCTAATCCAGCCTGATGGTCCATGCTCTTGCTCACAGAGGTGTGTAATCAGCCTTGATTTTTACAGCTGAATCAGGAAAATGTGGAAGGAACAGTTCGGACCAGCAAAAACCCTTTCTTGCCTCTTGTGCACAGGTAAAAGATGCAGTCAAGGAACTTTTGACACAAAGGTCTGTGGCTTATCGGCTTTATCATCTTAGCCATGAGAAGATGAGGCTCCTTCAGGGCACACGGTCACTGCCATCCCGCCTTTGCAGCAGGAGTAGAACTTGGTGCTGCCTTGTCTCATTTTCCTCCTTCCCCCTTTTTGTCTGTTTTTCTCTCTTTTCCTCCAATCTTTTCTGGACCAACCAAAGCATAGCTGCAGCAGCAGTGCTGCCCATTGCTGCTCCCACCCTGCATCCCACCTCTCCAAGGTACAGCTGCACGTTCAGAGCACAGACACACTGCCAACGGACATGATAATTTATTGCAAATATTTCAGAGCAACACAGACATGCAAGGAAAGAGCTGCTGCACTGGGGCACAGCATTAGCCACATCAGACTTGGCTGTGGGGGCCTTGCCAGAGATGCCAACACAGTGTCACCCATCAGTGATGGTACCACGGTGTCACCAACAGTACAAAGCGCTGCCCGCTGCTTGTTGCCTTCCCATTCTTGCTTGGTGAGTGCTGCGGGGAAATCTGCTGCTCCTTAACAGAGAAAAGGTGAAGCAGACACACAGAGGAAGGAGAGAAACCTGCGGAGCTGCCGTAGCAATTAGCAAATCATCCTGTGAAACAAGCAGGAGCCCTCCCTGCCAGGGGAAGAGCCCACGAGGTGCACAGGGCACAGCACCCGAGGCCCTAGATGACCAAGTCTGCGTTTTTGGGGTGCAGGTGGTGGCCCCTGGGCAGCCCTGGTGCCGCGGGGCCCTGGTGGCCGGCGGGGGCCAGCGGCGCGTCGGCGCTCGGGGCGCGGGCGCTGCAGGCGAGGAGCAGTCCTCCAGCGGCCAGGAAGGCTCCAGCAAACCAGCCCAGGAAGGTGGCCTCCCCAAACTCCCACCTGGGCACGATGTCGGGGACAGTCTCGTCCCAGAAGTCGAGGACGGTGTTGTAGGCGACCCAGGAGACCGGCACCAGGGTGGTGATCCCTGCCAGGCCCAGCGTCGCTCCCCCGCCAAGCAGGAGCCGCCGCTTTCGCCCGGGTTTGTCCTCGCAGGTTCTCCAGCCCTCCAGCCCCAGGGCAGCCAGGAGGCAGCCCAGCAGCCCCAGCCCGTTGGAGAGGCACATCAGGAGGCGAGAGATGCGCAGCTCGGGAGGCAGCGCCAGGAAGGAGCCGTGGGCTTGGCATTCAAGCACCCCCTCCTCCTGGGTGATGCAGACCTGCCAGAGCCCCATGTTCCAGACCTCCATCTCGTTCAGGTCCAGGTTGAGGTTCTTCCAGAGCGGCACGAAGGTGGTGACGCAGGAGCTGATCCACCCGAGGAGAGCCAGCAGCATCCCCCCGCCCTGCG